GCCCGACCTCGGGGGTCTCTGCAAGCACTGCCGCGCGGGTCCTGGGCTAGAGGCCTCGGAAGATGTTAGCGAACACCCATGCCACATTCATCTGCCAATGCACCCCCCCAATGATCAGTGTGGGCATTGGGCTAGATACGTTGCACTGCGACCGCAATCTTCCCTGCGTGCCAACTTTGAGTTTGGGGGAGAGGGGGAGTGCCCACTAATTGTTTCTCTCAACCGTATACGCCGGTCGGAAGAAGTAGCTAAAAAAACATGAAGCAGGGGGCGGATAAAGTAGATTGGGTTCAGGCACTCCCAGAGAATAACACGACACTGCAAAAGCAGATCGATCCTTGAAGTGGGAAGGCGAAGCAGATTGGGATCTGGGAGCCCACGAATACCTTTTTATGGCAGCGCGCACAAGGGAGTAGCGGGAGGGGGAAGGCTTCTTAAAATGAGGCTGCTTCGTAAAAGGCGCGGGCGTTATGTCTACAAAACAGGAGAAGCAGGGGTGCTTCAAAGAAGCCTTCCCCCTTCCCCCTGCTGGGGAAACCAAAGGCACCGATACCCCCTGGGCCTCTCCCGGGTTACGTTCCGACCAGAATTCCGAAGCGAATCCAGCGGTGGCGACGAGGGCCTCCCGGGAGGCCGCAAAAGGGGGAAACGGGCGGCGAAAGGCAGTGGTGTGGGTCCCTTTTCCTCCTCTGACCCGCCCCCCTCTGCGCGTGGCCGATCCTTGCAATCGCTCGGACGTCCGTTCCCGTGCATGTCTCGGCTTCGTGTGTGCTTTTGTTGCCAGCTACTCGAGGATGCTCCTCGAAAGTCCTCGCAGAGAAAAAAGTATGCACACGTCCGAACGATGGCAAGGATCAGAACGGCCAATGCCTGTGCCGCTTCGTTTCTTTGGTCATACGCAAGAGTGACCCTAGGGAAGAGTGACCTTTGGTGCGCGGGTCCAGGGGACCGCGAATGGCCCAAATCCAAAAGCGCGGGCCTATGCTGGGACCACCCCTTGAGCAGGGACTGGCCGTCCCGGCATTCCTATAGGCCTACCACGAGATGTTCTCAGAACCCAAAGATGTTTTGAGCACATAGACAATGTTCTCATCATGCAGACAGATGTGTCAAAACAAGCTCTGAGAACACTTCGTGCAGATCACACAAGGCTCTCAGCACAGCCCCTGGTGGACCCACAGGCAGGCCAGGACGCTTCGCCACTGCCTGAAGGACCCCTGCGACCCCGCACCAGGTCACTCCGGCGAGAGGTCACTCCTTCGCGTGGCCGAGCCATGGCCCTCCGGGCGAAGGGGAAAACGGGCGAAAAGCAGCGGTGCGGGTGCCATGTCCTCCTCCGACCTGCCCCCACCCCCTTCTGCGCGCGGCCGATGCCCTCAACAGCCGACGAGCAAGTCTGGGGCCGGAGGCCGAGGGTGGAGGCCTGCACGCGCCTCCGACGCTCTGCCGCCCCGTCCGCGTGTGAATTTTGGAGCGAGGGTGGAGTGCCGAAGAGGAGGAGGAGGAGGAGGAGGAGGAGGAGGAGGAGGATCGGGGGGGAGATGGAGGGGGAGGGGGGGAAGGAGGAGAAGGAAGAGGACAAGTCGGCGGCGGTGGCGGTGGCGGTGGTGGCGGTGGCGGTGGTGGTGAGTGCGTGGGGTGTGGTGGCGGTGGTGGTGGTCGGCGTGGTGGTGGTGAGGACGAGGAGGAGGAGAATGAAAGGAGAAGGAGGAGGAGGAGGAACGAGAAGGGGACGGCGGACGCGTGGGAAGGAGGAGGCGAAGGAGGAGGCGGAGGCGAAGTGAGGAGGAGGAAGAGAGGAGGGAAAGAGGGGGAGGAGGAGATGGGGCGGGCTGGAGGACGAGGTCGCGGTCGAGGATTTCCGCAGGATCGAGGCGGAGGAATAGGAGGCGGAGGCGGAGGAGGAGGGGAGGATGAGATGGGAGGGGGAGGGGAGGGGGAGGGGGAGGAGGAGGAGGAGAAGGAGGGGGTGGAGGGGAGGAGGAAGGGAGGGTGCGGAGGAGGAGGAGCGAGGAGGAGAAGGAGGAAGGAAGGAAGGAGAAGGAAGGAAAAGGAAGAAGGAAGGACGGAAGGAAGGAATGAATGAAGGAGGGAGGGAAGGAAGGGGGAGGGGAGGAGGAGGAGGAGGACGCGGAGGAGGAGGAGGAGGAAGGAAGGAAGGAAGGAAGGAAGGAAGGAAGGAAGGAAGGAAGGAAGCAAGGGAGGGAAGGAAGAGAGGAGGAGGAGGAGCAGGAGGAGGAGGAGGAGGAGGAGGGGGAAGGAGGAGGAGGAGGAGAAGGCGGACGAGGAGGTGGGGAGGGGGCGGAGGACGAGGTCGAGCATCGAGGTCTGGACGCGCCTCCGACCCTCTGCCGCGGCCCTCCGCGGAGGGAGAAACCTCTCCGAGGGGGTTGACGGCGGGAGGCCTCCCTGCGGGGGAGGCCTCGGCCGTCGAGGCGCTCGGTGCACGCCCCACGCGCTCCAGAGGCAGGCCTCCTGTCGGCGGCGACGACAAGGACCCGAAGCCAGGGTGAGGATATAGTCGAATGAGGATACATCGAGGATCTATGAGATCCCGCGGCTTTTGATGACGTTTCGGGCGCCGCGGTCTTCCCCGAGCGCTCCGCAAGGGCGCCGCCACAAGAGCCGATGCTTCGCCGCCATCGCAAGGGTGATCCGAAGGCCCAGTCCCCAAGGAGAAGCGAGGAAGGGGGAGGAGGAGGAGGAGGAGGAGGAGGGGGAGGAGGAGGAGAAGGAGGAGGAGGGGGAGGAGGAGGAGGAGGAGGAGGAGGAGGAGGAGGAGAAGAGGAGGAGGAGGAGGAGGAGGAGGAAGAGGAGGAGGAGGAGGAGGAGGAGGAGGAGGAGGAGGGGGGCAAGAGAGAAGTGGCAGGAGCTGGAGCATGGGAAGGACAAGGCAGGGGCAGTTAGAGGAGGGGAAGGAGGAGCTGGAACAGGGGAAGGGTGAGGCAGTGGCAATCAGAGGAAGAGAAGGAGCCTTGTTAGAGGACCGCATTACTCGACATGGTCAAACAGCAGCAGCCCGATGACTGTGTGATGGCCAAGCGCCAAGACTGGTCGAACAAAAACTCTGGCGCATATCCGAGCGAGAACATGACCTGAGCAAGAACCAGGAGTGCACGTGAGGCCAGCTGACTGCCGTGGAATAACAAGCGTTTAGTGTGTATTGAAGAATGCGTTTCGCGACTGCTTTACTGTTCTGCACATATGGCTGCCCTCGTAGATCCTCAGATGAAAGGAAAGGAGGCGAGCGACAAAGGGAGGAGAGGGGGAGTGGTAGCAGGGTCGGGGCAAGAAGGGCGGCCTGGGGCCGGGGAGGACTGCGGAGACGACAAGGCTGACATGTTCCTCACTTGAATCTCAGCTTACTTGCTGGACGGCAGCTGGCCTGATGTGCCCGGACATCCAGCGATGCGATCCGTGGGCCCCCTGGGTATTTCCCAACCATCCTGTGGTGTTGGGTCCTCGTTTTGAAGAGACAGCGCCCCGCGTTCCTCTCCTCTCCTCTCCTCCTCCCCGCCCCTCATCCCCTCCTCTATCTCCTATCCTACTCCTCCCCTCCTACTTCATCCTATCCTCCCCCCCCCTCCTCTCCTCCTCCTCCTCCTCCTCCTCCTCTCCTCCTCCCAGCCTCCTCCCCCTCCATAGGGAGCTACGCCGAAGGCCAGCGGGGGCGGTCGACATGCGCTCTCCCCCCACCACAGGGACAGCGCAGCTTTGAAATGCATGCGGGATGGCACGAAAGGGCCCAGTGGGGGTGGGGGAGCATGCGTTCTCCACCAACCAGGACGGCGATCGTGGCCAATGGGGAGCTCCACCGCGAAAGCTCAGTGGGGGTGTTCGCATGCGGTTCCCCCACCCAGGGCAGCGTTTCGTGGCCCCATAGGGAGCTCCACCGAAGGGCCCAGTGGGGGTGTTCGCATGCGGTTCCCCCACCCAGGGCAGCGTTTCGTGGCCCCATAGGGAGCTCCACCGAAGGCCTCAGTGGGGGTGTTCGCATGCGGTTCCCCCACCCAGGGCAGCGTTTCGTGGCCCCATAGGGAGCTCCACCGAAGGCCCCAGTGGGGGTGTTCGCATGCGGTTCCCCCACCCAGGGCAGCGCTTCGTAGCCCCATAGGGAGCTCCACCGAAGGCCCCAGTGAGGGTGTTCGCATGCGGTTCCCCCACCCAGGGCAGCGTTTCGTGGCCCCATAGGGAGCTCAACAGAAGGCCCCACAGTGCGCATCCGCATCGCGTCTCCCCCACCCAGGACAGCGCTCGTGGCCCCATCGGGAGCTCCAACGAAAAGCCCAGGTGGGGGTGTGTTCGCAGCGTATCCCCCCACCAAGGGACATGCTTCGGGCCCCCAGCGGGAGCCCACCTAAGGCCCAAGTGGGGGATGTTCGCGCGCTTCTCCCACCCAGGACAGCGCTTCGTGGTCCATAGGGATCTCCACCGAAGCCCAAGGGGGTTGTTCGCATGCGTCTTCCCCCACCCGGGACAGCGCTTCGTGCGCACCCCATAGGGGAGCGCCCACCGAAAGGCCGCCCCCGTGGGTCAGTTCGCATGCCTCCCCCACACAGGACAACGTTTCGTGGCCCCAGAGGGAGCTCCACCGAAAGCTCCAGGGGGGTGTTCGCAATGGTTCTCCCCACCCCGGGACAGGTTTCGTGGCCCCATAGGGAGCTCCACCGAAGGCCCCAGTGGCTGCCTTCGCATGCGTCTCCCCACCCAGGACAGCGCTTCGTGGCCCCATAGGGAGCTCCACCGGAGGCCCCAAGTGGGGGTTTTCGCATGCGTCTCCCCCACCCAGGACGGCGCTTCGTGGCCCCATAGGGAGCGCCACCGAAGGCCCCAAGTGGGGGTGTTCGCATGCGCCTCCCCCACCCAGGACAACGTTTCGTGGCCCCAGAGGGAGCTCCACCGAAAGCTCCAGTGGGGGTGTTCGCATGCGTCTCCCCTATCCAGGACAGCGCTTCATGGCCTCATAGGGAGCTCCACCGAAGGCCCCTGTGGGGGTGTTCGCATGCGTCTCCCCCACCCGGGACAGCGTTTCGTGGCCCCATAAGGGAGCTCCACCGAAGGCCCCACTGGAGGTGTTCGCATGCGTCTACCCCACCCAGGACAGCGCTTCGTGGCCCCAGAGGGAGCTCCACCGAAAGCCCCAATGAGGGTGTTCGCATGCGTCTCCCCCACCCGGGACAGCGTTTCGTGGCCCCATAGGGAGCTCCACCGAAAGCCCCAAGTGGGGGTGTTCGCATGCGTCTCCCCCACCCAGGACACCGCTTCGTGGCCCCATAGGGAGCTCCACCGAAGGCCCCAAGTGGGGGTGTTCGCATGCGTCTCCCCCACCCAGGACACCGTTTCGTGGCCCCACAGGGAGCTCCACCGAAAGCCCCAAGTGGGGGAGTTCGCATGCGTCTCCCCCGCCCAGGACGGCGCTTCGTGGCCCCAGAGGGAGCTCCACCGAAGGCCCCAGTGGGGGTGTTCGCATGCGTCTCCCCCACCCAGGACAACGTTTCGTGGCCCCGTAGGGAGCTCCACCGAAAGCCCCAGGTGGGATGTTCGCATGTGTCTCCCCCACCCGGGACAGCGCTTTGTGGCCCCATAGGGAGCTCCACCGAAGGCCCCAAGTGGCTGCATTCGCATGCGTCTCCCCCTCCCAGGATAGCATTTCGTGGCCCCATAGGCAGCCCCAATGCGTTGCTCACACAGACGGTACTCACAACTGCATATGGTTGGGTCCTTCGCCAGGCTAATGTTTGACGGTTCCGAGGGGGCAGAAACTTATATCCGGAGGCCTTGAGCAGTGCAAAACTGGCCTTTTGCTTTTTCGATCCGCTGGATGTCGGGGCACTGTGACTCTCCCGGGTGCCCATCTGGCGTGTAAGCTCTGAGCGCGAGGCGGCCAAACAGGAGCTCCGCGAGGGCTACGAGACGTCACGAGCCACTATGCCATATGGAGAAAGAGGGGGGGGAGAGAGGGAGGGCACGAGGATGGGCGGTGCCTCTGACACAGGGGCTCGTGGCTCGTAGCCCTCATCACGACTACGTAAGCGCTATCAACTCGATCGTCCGGGGCTTCCTGCGCCCTTGACCCCCATGAAGGAGCTCAGGTTTAGGACAGGTCATAAAGGGGCACGCCTGTCATAATCAACAGCACTCATGCTCCGTCGGAGCTCACGAGGGGGCCACGAGTTACGAAAAGCAACCGGGCCAGGACCGTCGGAGTCGACAACCCTTCTGCACTCCCACCCCCCGAGGTGGTCACGAACCACGAGAGGATACGGGACCCCAACCGACAGAATCGACAGCTGCCCCCCCTTGAACCCTCAAAAGGGGCCACGCCCCACGATACCAAGTATGATGGTCCAGAGGCCCCCTGAGGCACAAAAAGGTCCAAAAACGTCCAACAACCTTGATCCCAGAGCATCGACAATCGAATCTTCGAGTAGGCGATCACCTACAAAATGGATGCACCCCAAAATTGTCATTGTCATCGGATCTCAGAAACAAGTACGTAGAATGTTTGTAGATGTGAGGGCATTCTGCATATGTTTTGTAAGCTCGACGAACAAATCAGTTGTGGGGATACTCAATTCTGCAATAGAGCTCCTGTTCAAAATCTGTAGACCTTGAGACAACGACAATGAGAGCCGACAGATCATGATGACCTCAAGGCGACCACGAGCAGGACTACGAGCTGCGACGAGAGGCCTCTAAGCAACGACTGTCAGAGCAGACAGTCCGTAGGGCTGGATTAACGTCGTCGTCGCTCGTTCGAGGATCCATCGGTTAAGGTTCTAGTGTCGAGGCTGTTGGACGCGTTTGGCCCCTTTTTTACGCCCCAGGGGGTCTCTGGAAAGCTCCCGGGATCCCGAGAGGCTACATGACCTCGAACGTCAGAAACGACGGCTGCTGTGCGCCCTCGGAGCCCGCAGGGGAGCGGCAAGACCTCCTGAGGGGCATCGTTAGGGGGGGACTGGCATAGTGGGGATGCATCGACCTGAAATCGGCGATGCATCGCCGATGGATCGGCGATAGGCCTCCGATAGTGCATCCGCCCCTTCCTGGGCAGCTTGGGGCTATGTCGGGCCCCTATCGGCGATCACTGGGCGATTGGGGGTCGATGCCTTCTCCCCCGTGTGCCCATACCCCCCCCCCTGTCGCTGCCCCCGGTCTCCCGAGACGGTGCGTGTCAGAGCCGGCGGCTCCGGCGCGCTCTTGGCCCACACATGGGGCGCCGAGGTCCGCCGGGGGGGGGCAAGGGGGCCACGGCCCTCGGAATCGGCACCTCGCAGGCACTGTCAGCGGCCACGGGGGTGCCGCTGGGGCCACGAGGAAGTCCGGAGGCCCCGAGGCCAACCACCGTCAGGATCGACGGAGTTTTCGCAGACACGTTCGTCCCCCCCCCTCCCACCACCCACACGGCGGGGCCGCGAACGTCAAGATCGAAATTCCACAAGTCCTTTAGGGCGTGAGTGGTTTAGAGAGTGTCCTCTTCCAACCCTCCTTCCCCTCCGCGAAGGGGTTATCACTGTTCCCTTTTGATTCGCCACGAGTGGGCGTGTCCTCAGGTCCTTTGCCCAATCCCCTGAGCCTCAGTCCTCAATCCTGGGGAGTCTTCAAGGACCCCGGAGCCCAAATTGCCACATCTCTCGGGGCTTGGCGCGTTTCCTCTGGGGTCCGTCAGGTGGTGGCGCGTGATCTTTAAGACGACCCCAAGACGGCCCAAGAGGCCGCCAAGACGCCCAAAGAGGCCTCCGAAAGGACTCCCCAGAGGGGCCCAAGAGGCCAAAATCATTGACTTCCCGTATGGTTTGAAAAAGATGTTGGCGTTCTCGCCTTTTCGACTTCCCGACGCCCCCAGACGGCCCTGGAGGCTCCCAAGACCGCCCCAAGGCGGCCCAAGAGGCCTCTAAGAGGCCTCCAAGGGAGCCCCAAAACGGCACAAGAGGGCCCCGAGACAGCCCAAGAGGCGCCCAAAACGGCCCAAGAGGGCCCCACGGCGGCCCCAAAAGGGAACCAAAAAGGGAACAAGAGCCGAACATCCAAGCCTTCCGCGCCTCAAGAGGCCCCCAGGAGGCCCCCCCAAGAGACGCCAAGGAGGCCCTAAGAGGCCCCCAAGGGGCCCCCAAGAGACCCTAAGAGGCCCCAAGAGGCCCCCAAACGGCCCCCAAGAGACGTTCCAGCTCCCAGAAGCCCCCGAGAAGCCTCCCGCGAGATCCCAGCGAACATCCCATAGGCTGCATGCCCACAACCCAAGCACGGTGGCGGGATCGGCCGAAGGCCACTCGATCCGCCGGCCCCTGTTGCTTGCGAGAGGGGTGCCTGGCGTGCCAAGTCCCATCGTTTTGGGTTGTGTTTCTTTTCCCAAACAATTCCCCCCTGGGGCTCTGACGCGTCCCGCCGGCCACCCAGAAAGGACCTCAATCTGGAAAAAATCCTCCAAGATGGCTCAAGATGGCGCCAAGATGGCCACGTTGGCCCAAGATGGCCTCCAAGATAGTGCAAGATTACCTCCAAGTTCGCCCAAGATGGTCCAAGACGGCCTCCAAGACAGCCCAAGAGAGTCCAAGACGGCCCAAGAGGCCCCCAAGAGCCCTCCAAGACGGCCCAAGAGGCCTCCAAGAGGTCCTCCAGGAGGGCCCGAAAAGGCCAAAATCATTGTTTTTGACAGATTTGGGCAGTTTCTTCTTCTCGGCATTCCGACGGCTCAAGACGGCCCAAGAGGCCCCCAAGATCGCCCCAAGATCGCCCACGAGGCCTCCAAGATGGCCCCATGACGGCCCAAGAGGCCCCCAAGATGGCCCCAAGAGGGACCCAAGACGGGCCAAGAGGCCTCCAAGACGCCCAAGATGGCCTCCAAGACGGCCCCGAAGCACCCCAAGAGGGCCCCAAGCCGGTTCCGAGAGGCCCCCAGGACGGCTCCCGACGGCGTCAGACGGGCCAGGAACGCCCTAAGACGGCCAAAGAGGCCCCCGAGAAGTCCCCAAAAGGCCCCAAGAGGCCCTCAAGAGGCTCCAAGAGAGCCCAAGATAGCACCAACAACGCCTCCAAGACGGTCCCAAGATGGCCCAATCGAGCCCAAGAGTGCCTCTCTCCTGAATCCTCCTTCTCCTCCTCTTCCTCTTCCTCCCCCTCGTGTTCCCCGAAGGCTTTCCAAACCGACTCGGGGAACACATGGTCCGATAGCTTCGCCCCCCAAGATGCCTCCAAGACGGCCCAAGATGCCTCCAAGACGGCCTAACATGGCGTCCATATTGCCCAAGACGGCCCAAGAGGCTCCCAAGAGGCCTCTAAGACGGCCCAAGAGGCCTCCAAGAGGTCCTCCAGGAGGACCCGAAGAAACCAAAATCATTAATATGTCCTAAGTGTTTCGTGGATGTTGGCATTTGTTTCTTCTCGCCATTCCGACGGCTCAAGACGGGCCAAGAGGCCTCTTCCTCTTCCTCTTCAAGTTCATTATCCCCCACGTGTTCCCCGAAAGCTTTCAAAACCGATTCGGGGAACACATGGTCCGATAGCCTTGCAGGCCTCTGGCCACAACGTTCGGTCACATAGGCGCTTCCGAAAGGGCAGGATGCGGCGGTGATTCGCTGTAGGCGTGTTCGATAAACATCCCCTCCCCCAGGCGACCGGTAACTTACCAAGACCAATGAGAGCACCCCCTCCACCCCCATCCTTGTCAAAAGCAATACGATGTACACTTTGGGGCAAAATCTTGCGTCAAACTCGTGGGGGCTGCGAGCACTTTGCATTATTTGTTGACCGGGACGGCTGGGGTACCCTCATATTCATGCTTAGCGCAAAGCCACCATCCCTATTAAAAACAATAGTGCATCATGCACTTCGGGGCTAAATCTGGGTCATGCGCGGCCAACCCGCGATCGCTGTCCATTGGTGGTTGACAAGGACCGCGGAGGAGGTGGCTTACTGCCTGCTGTGAGCAGGCCCACCAGACACCATGATGGCCTCCCCGCCGCGATGGTGCACTGGCTTTCGACATGGGTTGTGGGGCCGACATGTTTCCCGATGTGTGGTGTCACGTGCGCATGCGCACCTGGCACACTCTGCGCGTGCCCCGGACGTGGCGCACCTGGCGTGGCTGAACCATGCGGCACACATGGCGCACGTGGAGCACGTGGCGCATCTGGCGAGCGAGGCGTGTCTTGCACGCCTGGGCCCCAGTGGTGCCTGGCGCACCTGGAGCGCCTGGCACGCGTGGCGCACCTTGCCCCATCGCGCACATGGGGTCTGTGGTGGTTCCCAGTAGCTGCTCATCCATAGAAGGCCGCTGGACGTGCTGAAGCCTGCGTGCTACTTTGTGTTGGGAGGGCGGGTGGGAGTGAGCGAGACAGCTTGCGGGCGGGGAGAAACACTGTTCCCTATAAAAAACACCCTCTCCCCCAGGCGACCTGCAGCCAACCAGGCACCATGTGCCCCCCCACAGTCCCTCTCGAAAAGCAATGCAAAGTCCACTTTGTGACAAAATCTTGGGTTATGATGGGGGGGCGCGACCACTTTGCATTGTTTTCGACAGGGACGGCGGGGGTGCCCGCATATTGCCTGCTGCGCGCAGGGTCAGCTTCCCTTCCACCAAAACAATACAAAATGCACTTCACGATCACTGTGCATTGGTTTTTGACTGAGACGGCGGGGATGCTGGCACATTGCCTGCTGTGTGCAGGCCTACCAGGCGCTATGATAGCCGCCGCGATGCGCAATGGTTTTCGACATGGGTGGTGGGGCCGACATGTTTCCCGATGTGTACTGCCACGTGCACAGGCGCACCTGGCGCACTCTGTGCGTGCCCCGAACGTGGCGCACCTGGCGCAGCTAGAGCATGCGGCACACATGGCACATGTGGATCACGTGGCGCATCTGGCGCATCAGGCGTGCCCGGCACGCTTGGGGCGCAAGGGTGCCTGGCGCACCTGGCGCGACCGCTGAACACGCTGCGGCTCGGGTGCTACTATGTGTTGGGAGGACGGGTGGGAGTGAGCGAGACGGCTTGCGGACGGGGAGGGTGTCTCGACCCTTCCCCCTACCCCTTCTGGTCCTGGACGGGGAGCCCCGCGACCGATTAGAGCGCCCAAGAAGGCCTCGGCGAGAGGGCAAAACACAGTAATGTTACTTAGGTTTGGGCCCATTCTGGCCTCTTATGGGGGAGTCGAATAAGGGCCCCCCCCTTCTTTGAAAGATCTTCTCCAAGATGGCCCCATGATGGCTCCCGAGGATCGCCAGAGTGACCCAAGAGGCACGCAGGAGGCTCCAAGAGGCCTCCAAGAGGTCCCCAAAAGGCCCCCAAGAGACCCCCAAGATGCTGCACGGAGACACCCACGACGCTCTAAGAAGAACCCGGGACCGCCAAGGGGCCCCCAAGGCGCTGCAAGAGGACTCACAAAGCTTTCAAGAAACATCCGAAGAGACTCTGGGAGACATCCAAAAGGCCTCTGGCCATTATGCTTGCTCTCCTCCTCCTCCTCCTCCTCCTCCTACTCCTCCTCATCCTCCTCCACATGTTCCTCCCTTTTCCCCCTCCCCGCCCCCCTCCCCCTCCTCTTCCTCCGATTCCTCATCCATCCTTTTTCTCTCTCTCTCTCTCTCTCTCTCTCTCTGGAATTATGACGGCTTCCAAGCCTGCTGCTACATTTCAAGATCTTCCACATCTCTGATCAGGGCAACTCGCCTGGACATCGTTTCTGAAGGGGCTCGTGGGGTCACGCGAAGCGTCTAGAAATTGTTATTCGCATCCTGTGCAGCCCATAAGCACGAAAGGCCAACTAACTGGCCACGACCGTCAGAATCTGCAGTTCTTGCCCGCACTCCGCCCGAGCGAGGGAGCTGACGACCCCCGATGAGCCACGACTCTCACGCACGCCAGGACCCTGCGAGGGGGTGCACGAGACAAGCGAGGCCACGTGGGCACGGCCACCAGGAATCGGCGGCTCCTCTGCACCCTCGACCTCGGCGACCACACCGTAGCACACGACGGGCCGACGAGGTGCCGACGGCGAGGGGGCTCTCGAGCCACGCGAAGGCTCTGGGCCGCCATTGTCAGAATCGCGAGCTGTGGCGCACCCTCTCATCACCAAATCGGGAAGAACCCTGGCGAACGCCTGCAGGCAACCGCGTGCAACGGCGCTCATACTGTACAGCACACCTTCAGCCTGGAGAAGAATCATCTGCGATGCAAGCTGCCCTCGAATATGTGCTGCGATGCTGCTGTGCCCAGTCGGCGGAGTGCGCAGAGCGGTTGATGCAGAACACGGCGGCGCACGCTCGAATTGCAAAAGAGCAGACAGACGTCCAGCTGGGATACAGTGAACCCGAGTCAACGCACCTCGTGCGTTTGTGTCCGAACGCGTCTGCTTCAGATCACAGGACTGCTACAGCCAAGGTGCCAACACTCAACTGGCGCCCAGGGTTTGTCCAACCCATAGACTGCCCCGAGAACCAGCAGAACTCTGGCCCCTCCACAAGGAGACCTGTGTAAACACATATGAAAAGAAGTCAAGGCAGGGGCAGAACTTGCTTCTTCGATGCGCGCAGCATGCCAAGGCAGCAACCACACAGCGGACTATGCTAGCTTCGCTCCCCGCGGTGTGAATCACATCTGTTTGAACTGATGCTCAGCTGCCCCTCGATTTCAAGACATCCCTTGGGGAACTCATCTCAATGGTTATCCTAATGCGTGAGGCCTGCTCTCTGGACCGGCGTCGTCTAAGTATATACAAGTTCGGCGTGCTCCTGCGGTCGTCTAAAGAGAGAGCGGCGAATTGGGCTGTGACCTGCATCTCATGCGTGGCCGTTGCAGACAAAATCAGATGTAATATAATTCGCGCGCACATCGGGGGGGAACACGAGTGAAACACACCAACAAGTTGCGAAATAAAGGATTCAGTCGAGCTGCAACTCCCGCGACGAGAGCAACAGTCGCCCCGCAGGGGGGGGGGCCAAACAAGCATACCGAAACAGCTCGAGGGTCATGTTGCTCCCATCGTATTTAACAACCACATCCCAGAAATAATTTCGAGCACCGAGAAAGGTATCGAGACAGTGTAGAGCGAGTATCGTCTCCCAGGGCACGGCACGTGAAACAACCTTCCAAGTGCTGGTGCTTCTCTGGTGCTCGACACTCTTCCTGGTGCTCAACACGAAAGTGGGCTGAAACATCACCACTCGAGGGGGCAACGAGGCACGAAGGGCCACACCATCCCCATGGCGCCCCCTCCCGAATGCCACTTGGGGGCTTGCGCACTCGGGCGGGGGGCTGCTCGCACGCGCAGCTCGAACGCAAGGTCTGACACGGCCTCCCCGCACCGCTGCTCATGGTCTGAGCGCGCTCCTCCCTCTTCCTCCCTCGCGCTCTCCTCCTCCGCTCCTCCTCCTCCTCCTCCTCCTCCTCCTCCTCCTCATCCTCCTCCTCCTCCTCCTCCTCATCCTCCTCCTCGACCTCCTCCTCCTCGACCTCCTCCTCCTCCACCTCCTCCTCCTCCTCCTCCTCCTCCTCGACCTCCTCCTCCTCCTCCTCCTCCTCCTCCTTCTCGCCTTCGTGCCTCCATTCGCGGGCCCGGGGGGGATCACCCTCCAAAAGGGGCCCCAGCACCCCTTCTGGAGCCAGCAGGGGCCCCAAGGGGGCCCCAAGGGGCCCCCGCAAGGGCCCCTGTTCCCCCCCCCCCCCAGTTGGGTCACCCCCGCTATCACCGCCCGCCCGCGAGGGGGCCACCTGGCGGGCCCCAGGGGTCACCCGAGCACCTCGCAGCAGAGCCCAGGGGCCACGGACAACCGAGCTCGCCCCCCGGCTGTACACCACGACGTGGGCACCGCCCGCCTGGAGGGCCCCGGGATCACCCGAGTACCTCGCCAGCAGAGCCGGGGGGCCGCGGCCAGCCGAGCTCGCCCCCCGGCTGTACACCAAAACGTGGGCACCGCCCGACTGGAGGGCCCCGGGATCATCCGAGCACCTCGCAGCAGAGCGGGGGGGCCGCGGCCAGCCGAGCTCACCCCTCGGCTGCACGCAAAGAATGCTTCGGCTCTCCCACGGCGCAGGAGTGGCCTCGAGGGGCCCAGGCTGGGTGAGAAACCACCGCCCCGATTAGCTTCGAACCGCCGGACGTCTTCGGCTAGATGCAGGAGGTGACCATGGGTGAGAGTGACCTTTGGTGCGCGGCCGCGGCTTCCGGGGTCCGCGGGGGGAGGGGGGGCAACACACAATCGCGCAAGACGTTACTATCGCATCGCGCTCGGCGATCGGAGGAACCCGATGGGCCCGCACCAAAGGTCACTCCAGGCGAGGGGTCACTCTTACGTGCCGTCGAACCCCTGAAGCTACACTGGGAGGCCACGCAGGGGGTCGCCAGCGCTCTACGAGGCACGAGGGACCACATGTTGTGAGCAGCCGGCGCCAGTCCCGAGACGCACCACCGGCAGGCGAGGGGGCTGCGACTCGAGAGGCCGTGGGCTACGGGACCTGGGCAGCCGAGCCCACTCATCCAACCTTAACGTGTTCGCGCTGGAATAAATATGAAGCGCGACCCCGATCGGGGTTCTTCTTCCAAACGGTTCAAATCAGTCCTGAGCAATGCCCATCCATACAAATCAAAGGCGATGCTATGCGTTACTCTGCGGTGCTTGGCATTGATTGACATTGCTTGGCGTTGCTTGACATTGCCGATGCTTGACATTGAACTGGTCTGCCTTGCTTTGTATCTTTTGACATTGCTTGGCGTTACGTGGCGTGCTTGTTGCTTTCTTTGCGCTGCTTTGCATTGGTTGGCGCTGCTTGGCAATGCCCCGACGTGCCCAAAACAACTCTGGGCAATTCCAGGTAGACCCAGAACATCCCCAGACAGCCAAGAGCAAACCACCGGCTCCTGTCACAAGCAAGTGAAAAACCCTCAGGCAAAGCCTGTCCTCCTCCTCCTCCTCCTCCTCCTCCTCTCCTCCTCCTCCTCCCCCTCCTCCTCCTCCTCCCTCCTCCCTCCTCCCCTCCTCCCTCCTCCACCTCCCTCCTCCCTC